TTATTCAGACAAATCAAAGGACGTGTATTCATGCAGTGCATAACATTAAAGCTCTTAAGAGAAATTCACTTTCCGTAAACAGAATATGTTTGTTAAAAAGAGGTAAAACGGTTTGCTGAAAGGAGGCATACGGCTGAATAATCAAAGGAAATTCATGAATATGGTATTTTCATATGATGCCCTTGACAATAAATTTAGAAATTTTGTGCGAGTACTAGCAGATATCACTTAGAATTACCCAGCTAGAGAAAATAATACATATTTATTTTGGAAAATTTTATTAAAAAAAAAAAAAGGTTTTTCGAGTATTAAAATTCCAGATTAATTTTTATATACATTATTTTCTATCCAAAGAACCACATGTTTTTACGCATAAGAAAACAAACTACATGCCTTTTTTTAATAATGAAAGATATTTGTTTGAACAATTAGTAATTGTAATGGTTGGGATAAACAAAACTTTTGATTATCCATTTGGTGAAAAAAATGAAAACTTTTTTTTAGCGTTTCCACTCTGAAAAAGCAACATATAGTTGACCATGTGAAAAATCGAGTTTTTGTTAATTTAATACAGCAATGCTTAGTGATTGTCCTTAGGTTTGCCAAATATAATTGCGAAATCAAGATACACTGGAAACTACAGACGTTTGAAATCAAATGGCAAATAGATAGGAATCATTGGAATGCGGGGAATCGGTGCATCATCACTTTTACTTTACATAATAATTGTTTCATCAATTACATTTTACGTTAATTTTTCACCTGAAAGACAAATTTGGGTGTTCTATGTTTTTCAGGAGTATTATCAGTAAATCATCATTCAAATTTAATATGTATGGTGGTATTCCAGATGGCTCCAAAGAATTAAGAAACTGTGGATAGTTGGCAGCTTGATTCGCATTAAAACCAGTTAAAATCAAATCTGTTCATACAATTGTATCTACAGATTTGTATTTAAATGGTTCACTGAGAAGTTGTAACTGAATTTTATCATTTATTTTATTGACGTCACCATTCTTTGGAAGCAAGATTGTACAAGATTGCAACCGTGATTTCTGAAACTGCTTGAAATGTCCAGGAAAACAATCCTTACTAAATTTTTAAATGTCTGCTGCACTTCGCGTTTTACTGGATAAATTGGAAACTTGTTTTCCTTCATAACCAAAATTTGCTTGGCAAATATTTTGCAGAACTATCCACACACAAATTGGTTGATAAGTAACTTTTATTACTTGAACTCATCAGCAGATGTTGATCTTGGATGGTTATCAAAGTTTGCCAACAATCACCTGCTAATGGCATAAGAGCCCCTCCCATTGTTTCTTTATCGCCTCTCAAATCCCGCAAAATATGATCAAGAGCGATCTTATATGACATGGTGAATTAATCCAAATTAATGAATTTGGATATTTTTAAAACTGTGGCCATATCTGAAATTTTACTAATCTTGAAAGTAGGAGTTTCAGCTTATTACAAATTGAGTATAGTTTAAGATCTTTTCCTTGATGATGTTATAGATAGTCCGATCTCATTCTGCTGTCGAATTTCGGTGAGATTAAATTGAGAAGAAAATTTTAATCAGTTCCTCTTGGTGCATAATAAGTCTTCAATTTCCGTTTGCTACATATTGTATGACTGCATTGTAAGCGAGTCTCTGATCAGCAATTAAGAGTATTTTTTTAACCATAATAAAAATTAGAAGCTTCTCAACGTCATATTGTTTTCCTCGTAATATTTTTTTATTTTTATTTTGAACAATACTACTGTAGGTGTCGATGCAGACTATCCAAAGAATTTTGTTATACATCTGCCCTCAAGTAATATGAGTGCTTCATTGAAAGTGCCAATTGAAAACAATTTCCATATCAAAATTCATTCCACATGCTTGTCTCTTACTTAACTCTTAAGGCTATTAAAAAAATTTAGAAGTTTTTTCAACTTACAATATTGGAGAAAACATTTCTAGTATTTTTTGGCAAATTTTTAAAAATATAATATTGTTAAATTATATGGTGTTAATAAAAGAAATCTTGAAAAATATTTGAGTATGATATATATATGATAAATAATAATAAGTTAATAATTAATTTTAATAATAATAATTTTATTGATATTACAACATCTGATTATTTATTCCTTGTAACATATACTTTACTCATTTCATTTAAACTCTTAAATAACGTAACTCTTTTTCTAAAAATCTTGTCTTTAAATATTCGACACACTTACATATCACATGTAAAAAACTTTCTCGATAAAACATTTTGCCAGAGTGTATGTTCTTATTTATCTTTTAAAATATTATAGTTAATTACAGAAGAAAAATCTATTCGAATTTCAAAATTTATTACACATATTTAGTAAATACTTATGCCTGCTTTTGTTTCAAACAAATAATTACACGTAGCATAATTTTTGGTGATTTTTTCTGTACATTTCATTAAATATGCCAGAATGTTTTTATACAATTTTCAATCCTCTATTTTCATCTAAAGCATTAATTTAATTAAATAAATTATTCATAACTTTCCATAGTTTAAAACAAAAGAATAAATAATGGAGTAGTATCTTTATAAATTTCAATAAAGGTCTTTTATATGATGAACCTTAGATTTAACTTTTGAAAGGCAAATTTTTAGGTATTAATGTACAGAATTAAGCAAAATGCAGCATTATTCATTAGTTTTTATTAAAATCTTTTACCATTTTTGAAACTAATTTGTAAGGTAAATAGTTTCGATAGGTTAATTAATACAGCTTGCTTTCAATAAAACTGTCGCTATTTCGCTGACTATCTTTTCATCAACGACTGGAGAGAAACTCTTATCTGACTTTTCACACAACACCGTTTCTATTAATGCCATCTACAAATTCCTCAGATTGCTTCTCCCTCTTGAATATCAATGCAGATTATCTCTTTTCCACCCTTCGAATGCTACGTGTGAAGGAAGCATAGTTTGGCAATTGGGCATTTCATCCCAGTATATTGGTGCAGGTCAAATGTTGTTTGAATTAGATAAATTTATCTAATCTTTAGATATATAAATAATTTTTTTCATATGGAGATGTTATATAATGATCATAGTTGCTCCTAAAGCAATTATTTTTCCTGGTAGATATCTTGAAGTTAATGACCTGAAGGCAATTAACTAATTATCTATCTTCTAATGGCACAAAGTTCTTAGTGCTAATGAAAGGAAGCAATTGAATTGCTTGCTTACTAAATTACTTTCCTCATATATGTAGGGTAATTTAAATATAATTATTTATTTTGTATAAATAAATATTATAATGGGAAGTCAATGCAGTTCTTCTCTCTTATAACAAGGAAGATGATATCTAAGTCTAAGTGCTACGTATGCCAAAGGGTTAGATGTATTGGAAAGTATTTGCAAATTTTTAAATATCTTCGAGTTTGTGCAATTATAATATTAAGATACGAAATGCAATTACAATTTTTTCACGCAAAGTAATTAGGATACACTAAATGTTTATTTTACCTTCGTCATTATACGTATTAAATAAGTATTTTCTTAATTAATTATTCATTTATCTTATATTTTTACAACTTTATTTTTGCTTGTATTGTTATGACTGTTGTAAGTATTAAGTGTGTTCTCAGTATTTTGATGTTTCAACTTCAATCAATAACATTCTCAAATACTTTTTTAGCATTTATATATATATATTTTGTATTTACAATGTAATATATCAATATAGAAACTAAACCGTTTTCATAAAGGGAGAATATAAACAAACTGAAATCAGAAAAGTCAAAGTGTTAAAAGGATCGCACAAGGTACTGAGCCACCAATAAAAAAAATACTAAGAAAATTTGTCTGAAATAGCAACTAAATTCATCTAAATCGCTACTAAATTCTGTTAAACTGTCAAGAAAAAGCATGTATTGCTATTGTATTATTATGATTATTATAAATTGCTTGATTGTTTTATCTTCCAATGGCTGAGTAAATATCCCATGTTGATGCGTCAACGTCATTCAATAATATTCTCAAATACTCCATTTTTTTCCATAACTTAAAGGTGCCCCTGAAGTAAGAAAAAAAAAGCAGCTGAGAAATATCAAAGGAAGAAAAGTATTGCGCTAGGTACTCAGTCACCAAGAAAAAAATTCACCTGAATCATCAAGAATATATTTCTATTCTTAATGAGTACACTTTCTGCAATAATCTATTTTTCAATTCCTTCTATTAGCTCACACTCTCCCTATATATATCTTGTTCAAATTTTCAATCTTTAATAAAATACTTTTCACTCATCCACTCAAGTTCCAATACATTTTTTTTGAACTTGTAGTGGATGATACTTGATGTTAATACAGTTTTTTTCAAATATTAATTCATTAATTAAATCGAATTAATTAATTTTAGTTTTTTTTAGACTTAAGTTGCATATATCTATCAATAGATGGCTCCAGATGTAAGAGAAAAATTTCAACTTTATTTGTAAAACACTTTTCTGCTATATAGTGAGAAAAAGGTAGGAATTGACTTAACTTTTTTTTTATATATGACTTGTTTAACCTTAGGGGGACTCAAAACTCCATGCCTTTTCCCTCAAATTAAATAGGTCAATGAAAATTAGTTTTTATCCGTTGTTTTTGTTTTTCATTTTAAAACTTCTATACAATTTATGCGTAGGTTATAGGATAAAAATATTTTTAAAAAAGTTGTTTGTTGTTGTTTCTTATCCCACTTGACTGGCCAAGCCCACGAGCCCATACGTACTCATGATTGAAGGGGAAGGAAGCAGCTTCTGTTGTGATGGAGCACCCGTAGGTAGAAGTCTGACTTTGGCTCCGTGACGCTCTTACAGTCATAGGAGACCGGGACCTACGGCTTAAAGTGGATACGGAACCACTACAAACATCCATGGCACCGCCGGGATTCGAACCCGAAACCTGTGGCACCGAGCACCAGAACGTTAGACACTCGGCCATTCAGGTCCCAAATTTGTGAATGCCAACGGCACGCGGTGTTCCCAGGTACTGACCGCGCCCAATGATGCTTGACTTCGGTGATCCAACGAGAACCGGTATATTCAGCATGGTAAAGCCGTTGGCATAAAAAAAATGTTCTGTAGTTAAATATATTCAATTCAGTCATTATGTATTTAATAAAGTTAATTCATAACTGAGTAGGAAAATATTAAATTAAATGGAAAAAAAAATGGTCCGAATGTTTGATGATATGGCGTAAAACTCTTTCATATGGAAAATAAAATTCTTGGGATTTGATATAATTTTGCTATCTTTCGTATATCTTTTTAAATCATTCTTGTCTTTTCTTAGTAGTCTGTTGTTTGAACCTTCTTTTAATATTCCTTAGCAATAGTTTTTCTGATATTGGCAAGATTTGTATCAACAATTTTTCCTCCTGAATCCTTTCTCCTATGCTGTTATTTGTCCTTCTACCAAGTGTGAGACATTTGTTTCTTAAATCGAGCAATTAGCATGAGCAAGCGTGTGCCATTTGTTAGATAAGTCGAGTGATTGAGGCACGAACAGACCTCTCGATGATGTCCCATAAATGCTCGATGGGATTCATGTCGGCGATCTAGGTGGCCAGATCATTCGTTGGAATTGTCCAGAATGTTCTTCAAACCAATCGCGAACAGTTGTGGCCCGGTGACATGGCGCATTGTCATCCATAAAAATCCCATCGTTGTTTGGGTACATGAAGTCCATGAATGGCTGCAAGTGATCTCCAAGTAGCTGAACATAAGCATTTCCAGTCAATGTTCGGTCCAGTCGCACCAGAGGACCAAGTCCATGCCATGAAAACAGCCCACACCATTACGGAGCCACCACCAGCTTGAACAGTGCCTTGCTGACAGTTTGGGTCCATGGCTTCGTGGGGTCTGCGCCACACTCGAACCCTACCATCAGCTCTTACCAACTGAAATCGTGACTCATCGGACCAGGCCACGGTTTTCCATTCATCTAGGGACCAACCGATATGCTCACGTGCCCACGAGAGTCGCTGCAAGCGATGTCGTTCTGTCAGTAAAGGCACTCGAGTCGGTCTTCTGCTGGAATAGCACAAGAAAGCCAAATTTCTCCGCACAGTTCTAACAGACAAGTCCCTTGTACGTCCCACATTGATTTCTGCGGTTATTTGACGCAGTGTTGCTTGTCTGTTAGAATTTACGACTCTTGCAGACGTCGCCGGTCTCGGTCGTTAAGTGCAGGCGGTCGACCACTGCGCTGTCCATGGTGGGATGTTATGCCTGAAATTTCATACTCGGCACACTCTTGACACAGTGGATCTGGAATGTTGAATTCCCTAACGATTTCCGAAATGGCATGACCCATGCGTCTAGCTCCAACTAACATTCCGCGTTCAAAGTCTGTTAATTCCCGTCGTGCGGTCATCATCACGTCAAAACCTCTTCACATGAATAACTTGAACAGAAATGAAAGCTCTGCGAAAGCACTGCGCATTTATACCTGTTCTGCGCGATGCTACTGTCATCTGAAAATTTGCATATTGCTATCCCCAGATCATTCGTTGGATTAGTCCAGAATGTTCTTCAAACCAATTGCGAACAGTTGTGGCCCTGTGACATGGCGCATTGTCATCCATAAAAATCCCATCGTTGTTCGGGTACGTGAAGTCCATGAATGGCTGCAAGTGATCTCCAAGTAGATGAACATAAGCATTTCCAGTCAATGTTCGGTCCAGTCGCACCAGAGGACCAAGTCCTTGCCATGAAAAAACAGCCCACACCATTACGGAGCCACCACCAGCTTGAACAGTGCCTTGCTGACAGTTTGGGTCCATGGCTTCGTGGGGTCTGCGCCACACTCGAACCCTACCATCAGCTCTTACCAACTGAAATCGTGACTCATCGGACCAAAAGCACTGCGCCTTTTATACCTGTTCTACGCGATGCTACTGCCATCTGAAAATTTGCCTATTGCTATCCCATGACTTTTGTCACTTCAGTGTATATTAGTCCAGGGTGTATTGTGATATTGAATTTTTCTACGTAGT